TAGCGCCGAGTTGGCTATAATCATCTCATATCCAACAAACGCGAGTGGAATAATTGTTTTATTAAAAAACGCCCGCAAACTATTAGGCAAATCTTCTCGACTTTATTTTGTGAGAAGAAACCGGATTTAACAATGCACAGAAATTAGATTATGGTATATTGGCTGATATACCATAATGGCTGAGCCAATAAAAAGTCTTGAATTGCATTATCCAATGATCCAGTTTTTAATAATTACAGTTATCCTATCTTCTCATCGTTCCTGTCATCTTCCATCCTTTCTCTGCAAGTTATCTTTGTACACTAGCGACTCTCAGTCCTAACGTCATTAGGGCCGTAGCTCTGGCCATCACAAGCTTTAAAACCATTGACATCGCAATGATAATCAGAAACACCACTATAAAGACTTAGCCAGACCTTAAATGCACATCTCTCGCAGAGTTAGTTCATTAGACTACCCTTTCCCACCCTTTACTTTATTGAAACTCTCCAAAGGCTTATGTGGAGTGCTTTTACCGCAATTCAGAAACCAATAGTGTTCTAGCTGGAAGGGGGACACCGGGGAGAGACCTGTAGAGTCAAGGTTTTGTTTCAGTAGAGAGAGAGGGCCAGTATGTACCTAAACAAGTTAGCCCTAGCAAGTTCCATGGACATTGAAAGTATAAGTGACACGGGTTGATTACATTTTGTCGGTTTGAAAGTAACAGTAAAAACACTTACTCCTAAAGAATAAAAGGGAGAATGTGGGGTAAAATTGAAACCATAAATTAAATCAGAGAGCGCATGACACTTTGAAGCCTGGTTAAGTGCCAGTAAGTCTTTGCATTTCCAGATTTCTACCTTGTGAAATGCACATACCTTGTAAAAAATTTCTCATGTCAGAACAATCGTGCATACAACCCTAAAGGGTTTACAGTACATGAAATATAGAAGAAATATGGTCAGTAAATGCAATATTTAGTGCTACCCCAATATTTATCTTGAATTGAAAATTATTTTACGGGCCATCAGCCATGATACGGACAATCATGATGTATGTTCCAATATCAAAAGAATCTTACTCTCAACTTGAAAAAATAACAGCATGAGTCACAAGCTGGGTATTTTTACTGCCTTCCCATTTTCTGCTCCAGCAGTTTATAGCTAACTTAATGACCACCACACTTTTTGCATAATATTGAAGGTGAAGAGAAGAAAGTCAACATAGCATATCCTCTAGTAATGTAAATTCATCACGAAAGTTGCGATGAAAACAGGCATAAAGCTAATCTAAGCCTTAAATAATCTAACTACCTTACACTTTAATTTAAATAAAAAGGATATCGCATTCTTCCATCATTATTCTAGAAATCAATTAGATTAGCCTCAACTATAGACAAAAGCTTTGAATTATTCAGTAATTTCAAAATGTTGATTTGATATTGTAAAGGCAATAAAACAGGATTTATAACCTTTTTTGAGGTTTTCAATGCAGAATTTTTTTAAAAAAACTTTCCAAATTGTATGATCGATATCCTCGTGAGTGTGATCTTGCTTATGTTGTGCATTTCTTCAAGCCATTGGATCATCTTTAGTATTAGTAGTAGCTTTGCAGTATACATGCATTTCACTGGCATTCTTACAATAGCCTGGAATCTAAAGATAACTAAATTCAGACAGGCAATCTCTAAAAAATTGTGGCAAATCCTAAAATTGGCAATGTCTTATTTTAATACCTAATGAACAATGGTTAAAATTAGCTGGCCGGGCACAATTTAAGATGTTCTGTTAGAACTCTACTATCGTTATCATTTTTTTTTTTTTTATATATATGATTAAGATTACTATGTTTCACCGTCATGTTTTTTATCTATAAGTGCCTGTTTTTTTGTTTTGGTTAATTCTACCTTTCTTTTAAGCATTGTTGAAAGGAAAAAAATTAAACTTTACGAGGTAAATGATACAAGAAAGGAGAAGAAATACAATTGCGCAGCAGCAGAGTTTACACAGCTGTATGCAAGCAGACTGACTTCTTGAATTCTGCACTGATGTACCTGCACAACTTCAGTTTATCCCTTCAACTTTGAGAAGCTTACCGTGGTCCCAGAGGTTCTCTTCTCTCTGAAAAATATAGGATAAATCTCTTCTCCCTAAAAAAATCGGCGCCAGGCGCCGACGAGCTGCGAAGCAGCGAGCAGTCGAGAGAACCTCTGGTGGAGACCGTTGAGAACCTCACTTTGGTGCATTCAGCTGTTTTGACAGCTGATCAAATCTATCACNGGAATAAAGACTTTTATTACACATCGACAATTGCTAAACCTTCATAGTTACTACAAGAATACAGTCCCTTTATGACATCTTGCACAGACGCTTTCTGTTGGGAAGATTGTACGAGATGACTAGCTGTACGTGTTAGAAGCTGCAACTGAACTCGGTGAGTCAGGGCAGGTCACAGACTTTTCTCGTGGATTTTCGGATCATTCTAAGCTAACACATGTCGTTATACTTGAGTGAACTTTGGAATATGATTATCATATAAATCAATCTCTAGTGAACATTCTCGGAAAACATTTTTTCCGGTGTGCTGTACACAGGAGTACGTTTAATTAGTGTGGCGATCAATTCCATTTCATATTTTGTTAACGCCCGTCTCAGGAAACATCTCATTTACTTCATTTTAACATGGCAAACGTCCCAGCCGATGCTGAAGGAGAAGAACGGCCTCTTCTTCCAAATGAACGAACATATTTGGGCTTCCGGTCTCAAAGACAGGCTCATAATCTCAATGGATGTTACCGATTTTTATTGAAAATTGTCAAAATCACCTTCTGTTCACTCGGATTATGGAGTCACCAGGCTTGGAACTACATTCTACGAGCACTAGTTAGTCTACTTTGTTTTTATCAAGCTGTTTACGATTTCTATGTCGTGTTAGGTTGCCACGGTTTTGATTGCAGTTTCTTACAAAATTCAACGGATTCTAAGAAGCCCTCTCATCACAAGGATGATCGTCATGTTGCAAATGCTGTTTATACGATAGTTTCATTGGCAGCAGTGGTTTCTTATCTCCTCTTTATACGTTGTTTCATCGTGGCAAAGCACAAAAACTCATCTATGGTCGCACCGTCTGAATCATTGATGGATGACCTAAGCAGAACGGATTGTTGGTGGTTGTGTCTTACTTTCGCTTTAATAACAATGTTATTTCTAAGCTCGGTGGCTGTGTTTTACGTTATCATATGGATTAGTCAGCCAAAAGATAATTATTTCATCTTCCTTGCCACCGGAGTAGGAGCTCAGTTTTTCGCGCAGTGGACAGCAATAACAACTTGTCACGTGTTTGCCGTTAGTTCCTTTTCAATAGGTAAGTTGTAGCCCTTTTTAATCGTTATTCATTTTCTGTTTTTGGCAATGATCAATCTTTCCGCCAATTTCATCATCTCTCTGCATGGGGACTCTCCCTGCTTCTCCCTT